TTTTCATACCTGCCATACTGGGTCCTCCCTTTAACTCGAGAACACCGACGTAATCGCTTTGAGTGGTGCAAACAACGGTCACTCTGGGATCAGGAATGGAACAGTATTGTCCTTAGTGACGAGTCTCGATTTTGTTTAGGCATGCACGATGGTCGTGCCAGGGTTAGAAGGCGACGTGGTGAAAGGAGGAATCCACAGTTTTTTGTTGAAAGACATGTTCATCACACTGTTGGAGTTATGGTTTGGGGTGCTATAGCTTATGGTTCCAGGTCACCTTTAATCTTTATCAGAGGTAACATGAACGCGCCGCGTTATATCCACGAAGTTCTAGAACCCCATCTTTTACCCTATCTTGACACCCTGGCAGATCCAACTTTCCAACAAGATAATGCCCGACCACATGTTGCAAGAGTCGCAATAGACTTCTTTCAATGTCACATTGTTACCATGGCCACCAAGATCTCCCGCCTTATCCCCAATTGAGCACGTGTGGGATATGATGGGTAGGAGATTGCTCAATTTGCAACGTCCTCCTCAGACTCTAGAAGCACTTCGAGAGAAGCTGGTGGTTGCCTGGAATGAGATACCACAGGAGGACATTGACCACCTGATCAGAAGCATACATAGGCGCGTTGGAGAATGCGTAGCACATCAGGGTGCATCCACACATTATCAAAGGTCAAAGGGCTTTAAAGCAGTGCAATCATTTTGAATTTTTTATCATTTACTTATTATGCTTCATTAAGTACTTATACAAAATTTTATTAAAATAAAACCATTTAAACTGGGTGTTCGGATTTATATGTCACTTAGTATATATCTATTCTGCCATCTAACCCCCTTAACAATACGAGATGTAAACAAAAAAGAATTTGTTGAAAATTAGTAGGCACCTGTATACAATAACTACAGAATAAAGTGTAATCCAAGTAAATACATAAGGAAAATATGGGTTACGACCGATTTAGCTGCTGATCAAGAAGAACTTCTTTCACTTTTTTCTTGAATTTGGATAATGGTTTCTTTTAAACTGCGGTCTAAAGAATTATATGATTTGATCGCATTGGAAATGTATGTATTCTGAAATAGAGACGTGCTGTGGCGTGGAATTGAAAAAGTCTCTCTATATCTAATATTAATACGATGCATAATCCCTCTACGTATGAATTTGTTTACTAAATATGACGGTGTTTTTGAATAAAGAACCTTATGAGTCAGATTTAGGAGCTGGTACTTATACAATTTATCAATTTTCATCCATTTGAGTTCATTAATGGCATTCGATATATGATCATATTTTCTGAGATCATTTACAAGTCTGCAACATGTATTCACAATACGTTGAATACGATTTCTTGTTATAATATCTAAATAGGGATAGTAAACCACTAAGCAATACGATATCTTTGAAAACACGAAATATTCACATAATTGCTTTCTCGCAGATTTATGTAATATAGCCTTATTTGCAAATAAAACTCTGAGAATAGCGTAGCACTGAGTAATTAGATAGTTCACGTGTGCAACAAATTTTAAGTCATCATCCATTATAATACCTAGGTTTTTCGAATGATCCACAGGAATTAATTTATTACCTTTTAAATGTATGTCTATTTCCTTTTTTAAGGTATTCTTTTTTGTTCTATTTGCGTATACCAACATATTTGTCTTCAAAGGGTTCAAACGAAGATTATGACTACTACTGAACTTTTCAATTGGGGCAAGATCTTGATTAATTTTATTATTTGCCGTTTCCAAGTCATTACTCCTAAATGAATAGAAAATTTGAGTATCATCTGCAAAAATTGTATGCTGCATGATTTTACCTCTGCATCTAAATCTGAGATATATAATGAAAATAATAGCGGTCCTAAGACTGATCCCTGTGGTACACCAGAACAAATTTTTTGTTCCGTAGAGTACTGTTGATTTAGACAAACTTTTTGATGCCGATTTTCAAGGTAGGTTTAAATAAACGAAAGAGGTTTTTCAGAAAATCCATAATAACTGCATTTAGATACAAGAAGTGAGTGATTAATGGTGTCAAATGCTTTAGTAAAGTCAAGAAGTATGAGAGCTACTGCTTTTTGGTTATCAAGTGCCGTATTGTCTGTTAAATCACAGAGTGCCGAAGCTGTATTATGACCTTGTCGAAATCCAGATTGTTTAGATTCAATAATTTTGTTAGAATATAAGTAGGCGCAGAGCTGTTCGTAAACAACGCGTTCCAATATACTTTAGAAAAAATTGGCAGTAGACTGATCGGTCTCAGTTGACCATAGTTAGTAGGATCAGAACATTTAGGTAGCGGAATAACTATAGCGCGTTTCCACTGATTGGGGAAATATCCCCTCTCTAAACAGCAGTTTATAATATGCGTTATGTACACATCAATTTCAGGTATACATAGTAGCATCATATGCAAAGTTATTCCATCTGAACCACTAGAATTTGATTTTATTTTATGTATAATTTTAACAATGGTGTCAATAGTCACTTTATTAAATTGAAATTTGAATTTTGAGTTATTTTTATTAACTCGGTAATATGCAATTTTATCAACACAAGCCAAATCACTATTCTCGAAAATTGAAATGAATGCCTCATTTATTTTATACGGATCTGACAAGCTCACGGGAATTGTAGAATCTTTCTGAGATTGTACTTTGAAAGTCTTTAGGGTCTTATAAAACTTTTTTATATCCTGATTTTGAACAGCTTGTAAATAATCTCTTTTTCCTCTTCGCAGGAGCGTTATTACACGATTTCTGAAATATGTATACTGTTGCCAAGAGGCGGCTGTACGATCACGTTTGAACGTTGACAAAGCTTCAGCTCTCTGCTTGAATACAAGTTTAATATTATCATCCAACCAACGAGCTGGAGCTTTGTTTACACGCACTACCTTTTTTGGACAGTGAACATTAAATAAACATAAAATACTATCTGTTGAAAAGTTAATTTTATCTTCAATGTCATCTATCGATATAATATGCCACCATGGAAACCTCTTGAGATCTTGTTCAAACGCTATTTCATTTAAACTATGGAAATCCCTGAATGTCACAAATTTCTGTTGATTTTTAGGAAGTGCAATACGTATATCACAGAAGGTCAAATAGTGATCAGTAATCATATCAGCATTAATAGTGCCACTCCTAAGACAACTTTCAGGCTTGCTCAAATAAATAGGATCTAAGAGAGTGAGTGTTGATTCAGTTATCCTACTCGGATTATAAGAATCAAGGAATTTAGTCAACTTGTTACAAACTAAAAGTAAATTAACATTGATATCCCCTGCAAGGATGATATCATCATATTCAGCTAATATGGCAGGCAACATGTTATCAAAGGTATTACCGGCTTCTGTAACAGAGCTATGTGGGGGCCGATAGAATATACCAATAGCAATTTTTTGTTTTCTAAGCTGCACCTTCAACCATATATATTCACGACTTGGGCCTTGCCCAAATGAAATTATGGAAGAGTTGTAGTGGTTGTTTACAAAGATTGCAACCCCACCACCTCGCCCATCTCTATCACAGCGATAGCAGTTGTATCCATTCATTCTTATATGGTCATTAGATATATCTTTTGATAGCCACGTTTCCGATATTCCAACAATATCAAGGTTGTTCTTTTGAACCAGTGTACTAAATTCATGAAATCCTGATAAAACTGATCTGCAGTTTATATGACCAAATTTTAAAACCTTGAATTTATCACTATTCATATTCAATTCTAGATTTCAAGTATGTAACATGTTTTTTATAAGTTGGACAATCTAAGTCTTTAGAAGAATGACTAGTATCAAATTGAGTGTTGAATTTAGAATTGCGATTCATACAGTTTGAACAATTCTTAAAAGCAGATTTACAATTTTTTTCCAAATGATCTCCAGCACATAAAGGACATGATACTTCAGAATGTATGCATTTTTTTTCCATGTGGCCAAAACCTGAACATTTATAGCAGCGTATAATTCGTACATAGTCCCGCACGGGACATCTTTGCCAACCCATGTATGTATGACCTCTATCTAGCAACGTTTTTCTAAATTTTGGGCTAACCTCAATGACAACATTTAAAGTAGATTCGGAACATCTGAAAGTGGTTACAGTTTTTATATCATCACTACTAAAAATACCAAATTCATTCTGGGACAAGATCTTCTCGATTAATCCCTCAGATTTTGTGTAGGCGCATTCTACATTATTTATCACCATGCGTCTTCCAACATATTAGAGTTTGATTTCTCCGTACTTTTTACCATCAACTTTTGTGTATTATTAATTTTATCTACAATCTTCTCATCTCTGCTTTTTTTTGAACTCTTTCATTTATTTTCCCCAAAGAAGTGATTATGGTTTCTTCATCCACAATACTGTTAATGATCAATTCATAATGCTCCTGTAAACGTCTGTTCTCATTAACTAATTGATTGATATACCTCTCTTTATCTAAAATTATTTCATTCTTTGTTTCTAATAGCTTCTTCAGGTGCTGTACTTCTTACTCTATAGTAGTATTTGCATTATTCTTGAATAAATAACTTTCATCTTTATCTTCTTGTTGCTCTTCTTCATCCCTATGTATAGGTCAGGTTGAAAGTTGATATATCTTGACAAAAATGTGACTATTCTGACACAATTTCGGGAGATGTTAAAGAAAAATGACCGAAAATGCTTGGTTCGTCCTCGGAAGAGCTGCTAAGGTTTCTGTAAGTATTTACTGGTCTTATCCCTTGTATGGTTACTTCTCCAGAAGATTGGGTACGATGTTTCTCACACTTTGCGTATATACCAGGTGCAGGTATTTTTTTTGTGATCAATGCTCAAGACTGTAAGTAGTAATAATGATGGCCTAACGGACTGAAAAACGGCAAATAAAAGATGCAAGTGCAGAGTTTTGCACTTAAGGCAATCATTTACCCAGTTTTGCATTTTAGGTGAAATGATAGTTTTAACTTATTTCTTGTGATACATAGGTAAAACTGCAAGTACTTTCAAATGATTTATTCGCTTAAACATTATAAAAGTTCAAAACGAAAAATACATCCTTACTTAATATAAATAAAAAACATTTTTATTAAATTTTTACGACTGATTCTTCTTCTTCACTCTCGTATTCCTCGTCGGGGTCTGTTCTGTTCTGGGCTTCTGTGGCATTTTTGTCAATAATTTTATAGAATTCTAACTCAGGTAAATTTCGCCATTCATTGCCGTAATGGTTCTTCAATAAAATGTCAACTGAAGACTTGTCTCCCTTCAAAGAGTTTTCAGTCTTCATCTTCTTGGGTCTCATGTCTGAAATTTTATGATTTCTTTTCGTTACACTGCGATGAACTCCTAAATTTGACTTGTATAAAAGTTCACCTTGAATGGTAGCATTAAGTGTTTGTGTTTTCGCAAAAATAAATCTCTTTGATTCGTTAAACTTGAAATGCCAGTGTCCCGATTTTTTTATTACTCTAGCAGCTTCAGTCTTCCAGTCAAATAGGGGGCCATAGTCGGTTGTGCGTACCGTCACTCCTACGCCCTCGGCAGATCTCAGTTCTGGCAGTCCCAGTTCCCAGTGGGTAATGCTGCACTTGGCTGCTAGCAGCACCCCACCTCCGGTTCTGTTCCGGTACTTTCTGTATGTCGTGTATCCCTGTATCGTCCAGTGTGGAATGTCCCCAGAGAGCTACGTTTCTTGTAATGCCATTACGTCATAGTTTCCTCTTGTTAGGAGTTCGCCTATCTCATATTTCTTGTTGGAAACGCTGTGAACGTTCCAACTCAATATCTTCAGGCACTGGTTATTGGAGTGCCCATTTGGAGGTTTGGTCAGTGCTATCCTTTTTATGCGTATTTTCGCTACAGATGAGCAAAATACGCTTTCTTGGCAGCCAGGTTTTTCATTACCAGCGACATCACTTGAGTTGCGTATTTTGTGGCAAAATCAGTCAGCTCATCTGCATCGCTGTTATTGGCACTGCTGGCCTCAGCGGCTTGGGCTCCTTTCGGTCCTCCTGTACTGGACTAGGCCTAGTTATGTTTTTTGGTGCTGGCGCTGCTTGCGCTGTTCCCCTTGTTGTCGTCTTCTTGTCTCTTGGCCCTACACTCGACCTCTTTGGGTATCCCCCAAAGTTTGCGCGATGCTCTCTCCCTCAGTTAGTACACTTCGCGGGCTTTTCGTTTGGGACATTACAGTCCGCCGCTCTATGTTTTCCTGCGCACCTAACGCAGCACGGCTCTCCCGTGCAGTACAGTTGGCTATTGCCAAATTGCTGGCGGTAGCACTGACCGGGTCCAGTTCTTCTTTTCAGGGCCTCCACCTGGATCACCATGTGGCAAACAGCACTTATCTTGTAGATTCCCGATTCTTCTTTTGGGAGATCTACTTTAATTAGCGATATCGCTTTGCCAGTCCTCCTACTGGTCATTCTACTCACCCTCTTTGGATGGTATCCTTGCCTTGCCAAGTCTTCTACGATCTCTTGGTAGGTGGTAATGATCGGCATCCGCCTTATTACCACTCCCAGTGGCTTGTCTTCTGGAAGGGAGTAGGTATGATGCTCGATCTTGGCATCTTCTAGAGTCTTTCTGATCCTCCTATAGTCATCACTGTCTTTCGGTTGGACTTTGATACCTGCTCCGGTTAGCCGTGCAGGTTTCTCAATGGTGATCTCATTACTTCCTTCCACTGCTCTTCCCAATGGATATACAGCGGCGGTGGCCTCTTCTCCTTCTTCTTGCTTGCCTCCGTCTGCGGAGGGGTGGGGTTGGGGGTGGGATACTGGTCCATCGCGTCCTGTTCTGCAAGTGTTTTGATTGCAGGTGTAGTAGGCTGATCATGACGGGGTGCCTTCTTCTTGGGGGCATCTCTCTTCTTTCCTCCTTCTGAGGAGGTGCTGGATAACCTCCTCTTTTTCTTTCTTCTGATTTTCATCAGTCTTTCTCTTCTTTTTGGGGTCAAAAACCTCGGTCCCCTGTCTCGCTGCCATTTGCTCGATGAGCTTAGCAGTCATTTCACGCTCTTCGGCGCTTATTCTTCTTTCTTCTATTAACTGGCGCGTTAGTTCCGCCAGTTGACAAGATAGCTCAGCTATCTGCTTCTTTAATTCGTTGTTCTTCATTTTGTTTAGGTAACCCGCATGTTGAGCATCCTCCTCATCTTCGCTAGATGAGGAATAAATATCTTCCTCATCCAACATCTTCGTCACGGTTTCGAACGTGTCGCGCTCAATCACTACCATCGATTTTTCAAAGGTCGACTTTTACACAATTTTCAGTTGTGGCCGCACACTGGAAATTGTGTATTTCTTTGCACTGGTGCCCTTTTTGGGTTCACTGCACTTCACTGTGTTCGTTTGTAGCGTCCGTTTCCGCGTCTCCGCGCGTCGGTCGCGTATCACACGCGCGTGTTGCGTGGTCGCTTTGTTGTCGCGTGTCGCCTGTGTCGTGTGCGGTCTCACTACTTCCTCGGTTGTTGTTTACTCCTAGTGTCTAGTGCTAGTTTGTTAGTTTTTGCTAATTTTTGCACATTATTGAGAAATTTAGCCTTATATACTACCATGCGACAACTAATCATTTTTAAATAACACTGTCGTACGGTACTCATAGTGCGCTAGCCTACCGGTGTCATAAATAAGGAAGTGTGGGCAGATGAACCATTCAATTGGCCAGTCTAGGTACTGTTAACGAGGAAGGAGTGGTCTAACTTTTCAATAAATAACCGTCATTAGTAAGGTACAGCATGTCTTCGACTGACCAAATGTCCGATTACAGGGAGAACCTTTACAGTGCACGAACTTACGCCGACATGTTGCCGACCGAGCCTATTTCACCTCATGCTGTTTCAACCGAGTCGTCGCCAACGTATAGTGTTGTTGAATATGTGGGTGAAAACTACAGTTTTCCAAGTTGGAGAAAACCCTTATTCCAACAACTGCCATATGGAATACAACTGTGTGTATTCAAACCCTGTCACCACTGACACGAAGAGAAGCAAAATAAGTTAAATACATATTATTTTTACTAGTAATATACCCTCCGTATCGAAATGATAGTGGTATTTTTCTTAAAAGATTACGACCGTTTAACTTTCACAAAATCTAGTCAAGTAGCATCTTATACCTTGAAAGAAAATGAAAAAAATTAAATAAGTTCCAAACCAACTAAACATTAGGGACTGGAAAGTGTCTCTAATACCCTCTCTATCGGATCACAGGTATATACTGTTTAAGACTGATGGAGAGATAAATATGCTCCGAATCCTAGGCATACTAGATGGGGGTCCTTTAGGGCAGACATTGACACTAAGCTTGGAGCGGTCCCATACAGACCTTGTAGGGGCTCTGACATAGAAGCAGCTGTCGAGTCTCGTGACGGCTTCATATGAGGAAAACTGCCCGTTACGCAAAGTTCAAGGTAAGGGCAAGGCAACATTCTGGACCAAAGAATTAGAGGATAGAAAACGAGCGGTGCACAAACTTCTTAGCAGAGTTAAGCACAAGATAAGTTCTCCTCTATGGGAAGACTACAAAAAGGCATTGCAGGAGTACATAAAGGAGATTAGAAAGGCCTCCAGAGAATTCTGGAGGGACTTCTGTCAGTCCATAAACGACATTCCTGCTACTGCGAGAATACATAGGGTGCTATGCAAAGACATTAAAGCAAGATTGGAATCTGCATGATCCCTCGGGGGGGGAATACTATTGCTGAGGAAGGTACTCTGAGGCTTCTGATGGATACGCGCTTTCCCTATTCCACAGTAGCGCGATCAATCGCAGAGTGCATGCAGTTTCGCAGGCACTCAGGGAAGGACTGGCGCACGGCTAGGGAGATTGTCACCTTCGAGAGGACGGTATGGGTAGTAGATTCGTTTGCTCCATACAAAACTCCAGGTCTGGACGGCGTATTTCCGGCCATGTTACAGCAGGGACGGAGTTCGGTGGTTCCTCACCTGTTGAATGTGTTTCGAGCATGTGTGGCCACGGGCTTCACACCTAGATGCTGGCGGCAGGCTAAAGTGGTATTCATTCCTAAACCGGGCAGAACTAGATATACTGGCCCGAAGGATTTTCGTCCGATTACACTTTCATCTTTTGTGCTTAAGACACTGGAAAGGATAGTTGATAGATACTTAAGGGATGGCCTGCTGGAAAGGTGCGTCATTCATGCAAATCAGTTTGCATACAAAGCTGGTCGGTAGGCTGCAGAAGACTGTAGATCAGCGAGAAGTGGCACTCGTGGTCTTTTTGGACATTGAAGGTGCATTTAATTGCAACACAATCGACTTTATCAGACATGCCCGGGGTTGGATCAGTCCTAATAGTTTGGGTCCTATCTACTCTGGAGGCTCGGGTAGCAACAGCTATGCTGAATGACGTAAGCTGCAGCGTGAGCGTAGCTAGAGACTGCCCTCAGGGCGGAGTTCTGTCACCCCTAATGTGGTGTATCGCGGTGAACGAACTCCTCGTGAGGCTCAGCAGTATGGGTGTCTACGTGCAAGCCTATGCTGATGACATAAGCATAGTAGTTAGGGGGCGTTTTTGTAGAACAGTCTTGGAGATTATGCAGGGCGCTCTGCGCTCTGTGGAATCGTGGTGTAGGGAAGTCGATCTTTTTGTTAATGCTGAAAAGACCGAGCTGATCCTATTCACTAGGAGAATAAGGCTTGACTGGCTGGACCTTCTTTGGGACTAGATTAATATGGTCCCAGTCAGTGAAATATCTGGGAATTATCCTGGTTTACAAACTGAACTGGAGAGAGCATGTTGAATACAAGGTTAGCACTGGTCGCAATTCGATGTCGGCCTGTAGACGGGTTGTCGGTGTATGGTGGGGGCTTGTACCCATAGTGGTATACTGGCTCTACACGACGATAGTACGTCCATCTCTCTTGTACGGCTCCCTGGTCTGGTGGCCTTGCGTTAGAACTGAGACAACTAAGGCCAAACTCAATAAAATTCATCGTTTGGCCTGTATTAGTATTACAAGCGCAGTGCGAACAACACCATTGAGAGCAATGGAAGCTCTGTTGGATCTCTCTTGTAGGGCGTCTTTTTGGCCTCCTTGATTGTCATAGTTTTCTACTTCTCCGTGTCAGAACTCTATTTTGAGGTTATGTCACAAATATCTATTTGCATCAAATTGTGCTTGCTTTTGAGTTATATCATGTTTTATCAGCCTAAAATTTCCTACAATTTAAAAGTAAAACAAATCTCCACGGGACAAGTGCATTCTAGAAATTTTTGAAGGAGAGAAAGGAGTATGACAATCAAGAAGGCCATAAACGCGCCCTACAATTGTAGGGTCGACTGACGATACGGGCCTTAGTGCCTGTAAGATTACTTCGAGTCATGTATTGCAATGCAGGGAGGCTCTGGATTGCCTCGCAGCGAGGCATCTGGTATCATTAATATGGGTACCTGGGCACGCTGGGATAAGGGGCAATGAGACGGCGGACACTCTGGCGAAGACAGGATCAGCCAGCAAGCTCGTTGGTCCTG